TTACTGATGTTGTAGGTGGCCAGGGCTTAGGCTTGGTTACAAGTACTTCTGGCCCGTTTGGGAGAACACACAGATGATGATCAATCTAAATGTAAATTATGTGATCAGGCATATGGTCACTCTCTTGAAACTATGTGACTTAAACTGTCCACTTATTGAGGAATTACAGGGAGACAGACAGTATAATAACCTATGTGACATGTCAAGATATCTTATTAATGAAAATAAGATACCAGATATACTAAGCAAATTTCCTAAATTTGCTTGTAACAGATAAGTGAACTATAGATATGTAGATATAAATCCATATGTATTCCTGTTAACCCTTTGGGGCCTATGTCCTAGGTCTTTTTTTTGTGTATCCATATGCTCTCGCGCTACCGTCCACAGGATGGATATGGGGTGCACAATAAACTAGCCACTTCGGTGGCAAAATCAAAATCTAATCTACAAGCCTCCAGATGCAACGTCCCAGCAATTCCAGGAACAGCTGTCAAAAATTGACCACTGTCTGGAAAATCTGCCAGCTCCTGGGGGATTTCAACTTGAGGCACCTAAAATGGAGGAATATAGCAAATAATGTTGTTGCAGTGATAACACCAGGAGGCAGCTCTGACGAGAACTCACACACGAGCTTTTAAATCTCTGCACAAAATTCAACTTAAACCAGCAAATAATAGTCTACTAGACTTAAGAGACACTAGGTCATCTTCACTAACGATGATGATCTGATATGAAATGTCCACCATATCAAAAACAAATATACTCAGATCACAAACATAATCGAGGTTCAGACTCGTATGAGTGGAGCCCAGGACCGGCCAAAATGAGATTAGTTCAAGAGGAGCCCTTCACCAAATTCACTTCAATAACAAAACATAAAGTGGGACCAAGTAAATCATGTCCTAACAACGATAAAGCTGGGAAGGATAGACCTAAGAAACGCAGACTCCAACTTATGCCTAGAACAGATTAACTCTGTGACACTCGATGTATGCTCAAGGCTTATTCCTTTAAGAAACAGGAGAAGATGTAATATAGAAAGAGATAGGCGCTCCATTTAACAGGCGACGGAAAAAGACAATAAACAGAGCGGCTAAAAAAAGAGGGCCAATATATCTGAAATGTGAAGGGAGTCACTGGTCACAGAAATAGCAAACATCGAACTTAAGCTAAAGTAATCGCGGGAAGAACTAAAAGCCATAAATGAAATCGAAAGAAACCCAAAGTATTTTCTTATGCCAAATCAAAGTCGAGATCAAAACATCCAGTATTGGGCCCCCTACTTTAACAAGATGGGTCTACACAGATGACAGCAAGGAAATGAGTGAGCTACTCAAATTCTAATGACTCAGTTTTTAGCAAGCCGCTAACCAGACTGAGAGTCGAAGATCAAAATGAATTTTTTATGAGAGCCCACAGTAATTTGGTTAACACAAGCCTATCTGATACTATCCTGACGCCAAATGACTGCGAACAGGCGTTTAGAATGACATGTCCATGCCACTCTGCCCCAGGGCCAGAATCATGGAACTCCGTGTTCATCAAGAAACTGCAAGAAGACCCTATCACGAGGACATTTACCTTCCTATGGAGTGGGTGATGGACACGGGGGTTCGTCCCACAGTTACTAAAAAACAAACAGGAATAGCCCCACTCCACAAAGGGGGAAGTAAAGCAATAGCAAAGAACTACAGACGATAGTACTAACATTCCATATCATAAAATCTTGAAAGGGTCCTAAGAAGAAAGATCACCACCCATCTAGATACCCATCAATTTACACAACCCAGGGCAAAACATGGGTTTAGAGCAGGTCGCTCCTGTCTGTCCAAACTACTGGATCATCCGACAAGGTCAGATGCACTAGAAGACAAAAAGAATGCGATATAAAATATACAGACGTTGCAAAAGCCTTCGACAAGTGTGACCATGGCGTAAAGCGCACAAAATGGGTTGCTAAAGGAATACAGGGAAAAGTTGGTAGATGGATCTATAATTTATCAAACAGGAACACAAAGAGTAGTAGTCAACAGAGATAAAGTCTGAGGCGGCTACGTGAAAAGCTGATTCCACAAGGCACAGTACTCGCTCCCATATTGTTTCTCATCTCTATCTGACATAGACAAGATGTCAGTCACAGGCACCGTGTCTTCCTTTGCAGATGACACCCGAATCTGCATGACAGTGTCTTCCATTGCAGACACTGCAAGGCTCCAGGCGGACATCAACCAAATCTTTCAGTGGGCTGCAGAAAACAATATGAAGTTCAACGATGAGAAATTTCAATTACTCCGATATGTTAAACATGAGGAAATTAAAACTTATCAGAGTACAAAACAAATTCCGGCCACAAAATAGGGCGAACCAACGTCAAAGTCCTGGGAGTGATCATGTCGGAGGATCTCACCTCTGCTAGAAAATGACAGGATGGATAATGACAACCTTCAAAACTAGGGATGTCAAAACATGATGACACTCTTCAGGTCGCTTCTTCAATCTAGGCTGGAATATTGCTGCACACTAACAGCACCTTTCAAGGCAGGTGAAATTGCTAACCTAGAAAATGTACAGAGAACCTTCACGGCGCGCATAACGGAGATAAAACACCTCAATTACTGGGAGCGCTTGAAGTTCCTGAACCTGTACTCCCTGGAACGCAGGCGGGAGAGATACATGATTATATACATCACTACAAAACACTCGCCAAGACAATTCCAATTCTGACAACTCTGTGGACTAAGAAATTATTCCTAAACATCTTGACTCATCTGAGTCGTCAACTTCCAATTGTGGACCATTCTGGAACATTCCTGTCTCTGTACGCCTTGTTCTTTTGCCTTGCAGTATTTTGTACGTCATTATCTGTCTCCACTAACCCTCCTGTTCCTGCCGGAAATCTACTTTCTGGAGATTTCCTGGAGAGAGTTCCGGGGGTCAACGCCCCGCGGCCCGGTCTGTGACCAGGCCTCCTGGTGGATCAGAGCCTGATCAACCAGGCTTGTTGCTGCTGGCTGCACGCAAACCAACGTACGAGCCCAGGCCCGGCTGGTCAGGAAACCGTCTTAGGTGCTTGTCAGTTGCCAGCTTGAAGTTGCCAGGGGTCTGTTGGTAATCCCCCTTATGGTGTGCTGGAGGCAGTTGAACAGTTCGAGCCACTGACACTTTTGTTGGTCTCTTAACGTGTAGTGAACCCCTGCTTTTCATTGGGGGGATGCATGCATCGTCTGCCAAGTCTTTTGCTTATTTTGTGAGTGATTTCCGTGTGTAAGTCGGTACTAGTCTATTGGATTTTCCAGGTGTATATAATCATGTATCTCTCACGCCTATTATTTCCAGGGAATACAGGTTTCAGGACCTAAGCGCTCCCTGTAATTGAGGTGTTCATCTCGTTTATGCGCGCAGTTAAGGTTCTCTGTACATTTTCTAGGTCAGCAATTTCCTGCCTGGAAGGTGCTGGTTAGTGTGCAGCAATATTCCAGCCTAGATAGAACAAGCTGACCGGAAAGAGTGTCATCATGGGCTTGCCTCCCTAGTTTTGAAGTTATCATTATCCATCTGTCATTTTTCTAGCAGATGCGATTGATACAAATTGTTATGGTCTTGGAAGGTGAGAATCCTCGACATGATCACTCCCAGGTCTTTGGCGTTGGTGTTTCGTTTCTATTTGTGGCCAGATTTGTTTTGTACTTGTTGAAGGATATTATTTCCTCGAGTTTACCCATATCTGAATATTGAAAATTTCTCATCGTTGAATAAAATTTCATATTGTTTTCTGCAGCCCCCACTGAAGATTTGGTTGATGTCCGCCTGGAGCCTTGCAGTGTCTGCATGGAAGACACTGTCATGCAGATTCGGGTGTCATCTGCAAAGGAAGACACGGTGTGCTGTGGCTGACATCCTTGTCTATGTCGGATAATTGAGGATGAGGATCAAGATGGGGGCGAGTACTGTGCCTTGTGGAACAGAGCTTTTCACCGTAGCGCCTCGGGACTTTACTCTCGTTGGCACGATAATTCTCTTTGTTTCTGTTAGTGCGAGGAAAATTATAGATTTCACATCGACCGGACTTTTCCTGTATCCCTTTACACGCATTGTTGTTGCGCTTGCTTACGCCATGGTCACACTTGTCGAAGGCTTTTGCAAAGTCTGTATATATTACATCAGCATTCTTTTTATCTTTTAGTGCATTTAGGACCTTGTCGTAGTGATCCAATAGTTGAGACAGACAGGAGCGACCTGTTCTAAACCCATGTTGCCCTGGGTTGTGTAACTGATGGGTTTCTAGATGGGTGGTGATCTTGCTTGTTAGGACCCTTTCAAAGATTTTTATGATATGGGATGTTAGTGCTATCGGTCTGTAGTTCTTTGCTGTTGCTTTACTGCCCCCTTTGTGGAAAGATTAATAATAACCAGTTTCGAAGAATAGTTACCAGGAAGGAGACTGATGTAATTTATATGTTTTTACAATACAAGGATTACTAACTGACATCCATGACATACTACTATATAGAAAGCTGCTTTTATGCAGAGCATTTCAGGCAAATTAGGTCAGTTTTGTCTCAGGATGCGACCCACACCAGTCGACTAACACCCAGATACCAATTTTAAACTGATGGGTGAACATGAACAGGGACAGCAGGTGTCTTATGGAAACATGTTCTTAATATTTTCTAGCCATACTGGAGGAGATTTGAACCCCGAACCTCAGTGTGTGAGCCGAGTGCGCTAGCAATCGAGCTATGGGACACCCTAAATTGATATTGACAAACTGGTTTAAAAAGACAAGTGATGAAACACTATGGCATATTTATCGGAAAACATTTCAGTCCTGGGACAGTGATCACGGTCTCAGCGTTTCATCACATCATTTTAAATCGCATACAGATAGAAATCTTTATTTCAAATTACTACATTAAACATATAATAATCTGAGGGGCCCATAGGACTCACAGCATTTTGAACAACATAATGTGGTTGTTGTGGGGGAAACGTCTCACCTTGCACTTGCAGGTCACACATTTGTAGTAACCAATAGATGTCAACCTAGGATGCCACTCGGCACCATTCTCATACAGTGCCTGAAAGGGAAAAGAACATTTCTGTCCTTAGAATATTTATGAAGACAAAATCAATTCCATGAATTTCAGGTCTCTTTTCAAAGTATAAATCATGACTGCTTCAAGTCATTCCAAAGCTGGGTCCCTGAACGTGCAGATGTTCACTACAACGAACACAGACTCAGCCACTCAATCATATATTCATAAACTTCCAATTTCATACAACGATATTCCTTGCTCGGATTATTTTTCAGTACTCTCACAATAACTGTAAAACTGCTGGCAACACCATTGGTCTGAGTTGGAACAACAAATTGTTTTCTATCAAACTCCAGTTAAGTTTCCGGCCAATTTACCACCAGTGTTGAATTTGGGAAGCAACACTCTGACGATTATGAATCAGACACGCTTGACTCACACATGCCACAGGGAGAAATGCCCGGCACCTCTCTTTTGCAAACTGCCAGGTCATAGTATCAGTTTGTTGTATCTTAATAGGCTATCCTATCTGTCGAAGACCATATAGAATTCACTTCTGACACGTACTACTCCTTGGCATCGTCACTAACTGACATCCTTTCCAAATGTCCCGCTTGTAGTGCAAACTCACTCATTGACTTTTTTGACAGAAATTAACCTATTGCACCAACTATAACTTCACTGTTGCACTAACACCCACTTCCACTAATCTCTGCCCCTCACACACACACACACTGTTGCGTGAACCACTCAGGCTTAACACGTTTTAATAGAAAAAATAATAATAATCTTTTTACCCATTAATGCATTCAATACAGTCCACACCACATGATATATTTATTATTAATGTATTATAAAATCTTGCAGTATTTCTAACTGTGGAGGAAAATGAGCTCTAAAACACCCTCCAGGTATTATGTGGTCTTGAGAGGTGCAGGTCTGGTAAAGAAGGCAGCTGTAGAAACAGTAAGTTTCTACACACTATGTTAATAAGTATCCAGGGATTTAATAATTTCACTAAACTAGACATCAGCTTCACCTTCTCATCTAATACATGATTCATATTTTAATCTTCGATGTTTTGGCTATGTACTTATGGTCTGGGAACTCGAATATGAAATAAAGTAGCAAATCATTCTGAATATTTTATAAATATTTATTTTAAGTACTCATCCTTAATTTACATTGTGCTCATGACAGCTGAAACAAATTTTTTCCATCAGAGCAAATTCTCTGCTGAGCCAGAAATACAAGTTTGACAAATAATCACACTTTTTTTCCATAATGTGAGAGATGAATCTGCCCCATCCTATATTGCATGATAAAGTGCTTACCCAATTATTTATTAAACATCCACCTCCTCTGCGAATATTGTTCCGTTGTTCCTCTTCTGTCATTATGTCTCCTTCATTAACCATCCCTGGCTGGGCTGTAGGCAGAGGTGCCTCAGGTCTAGGGGTTCGGCATTTAGCACAGCAAGAATCTGGCTGCTGCTCCATGTCATCAGGACCACAGAGAAGGGGTGGGCAAGGGAACCGAGAGCAGTTAACCACTGGTTGTCCATTAGAATTCAGCTGGAGTGAAAGGAAAAGATCATTAGATAAAATCGGTCTGGTGAAACTTTCAAACTTTTTCCCTTGAATACTAAAGCAGTACGGATAATACACAAATGTCACTCCACAAAATTCATTTGGAAATAAGATGAAAGTATAAACGAAGGACAGAAACATGCTTACAGACTTACCACACAGGCGCAGGAGACACACTTGTCAAAGCCTTTTGGGGTAAGGAAAGGATGCCATTTTGCTCCCAAGAATTGCTTTTGATTATTTAGCTCACACATTTTATTTTCTTCTGAAACAGCATTACCACCTGCAAAATAAACGAAGCTGCACATAAAGGAACCAAAAAATAAAGGTTATTTTCTATCAGTATTGCATGCGAGGGATATTCCTTGACAGTTACGGAAGCCTCTTCACCAAATTAATTTAAGCTACCCTCCTCTTCCTTCAATCATTCCTCGTTGCTTCTTAATTTTCATGGACTGATTGACTTTTTGCAGTTCCACATGAACATAAAATTAGTAAATTACATGGTTGATGTTAAGTTACTATATATCTCATATGAATATATTGGCAAGTGAATTCCATAAAAAAATAGGTCACTCTTGATGGGTTGTACAGTACTGTTCTTAGAGTAAAATATCCAAATTAAAAAAAAAAATAATCTTTTACAAGATAGGTCTAAAATCCAACAGTAAACATAAAGTATAACAAAATATTTTAATGGTGCCACCATAAAGGATAAACTCATGTATGGCATTTGGGTAAATGTTTGTATCATACGTCTGTCTCTGTAAACAGTTAGCATTTATGACAAAAGAGAATGAATGGCAACTCAAACTCACTCAAAATTAATGGTAGATAACAAAAAACTGTCCTTCCTGTGGATGTGTGCAACAGCTCTTTGATTAGTCGAGATTAAAGTCTTTCAATCTAGGACTTCAAAACGTCTACTGCACATACAAAAGAACTATATCATTTTTACATTTCATCTATTTGGCATTGTTTGGCAATATAAGCAGAATACAACTCAGGAAATCATAATAACACGATTACAAACAAATCATGGAATGGATGGGGCAAGTCCTAAAATTCACAGCCAGTGCAATAACCACTCGGCCAGCTGGCTCTAATAAGATTGATCCAATTAGGTATATTTCTATACACCATAGGGAAGTTAGCATGGGCCCCACTATAATCACAAATCCAGCACTGCACCTAACTTCTAATCTTTAACCGTCACTCAAGAATTTGGGTCTCCAAGTGTTAGCTGAATTATGTTTGTGAAGGTTAGTAAATTAATTGTCAAAGAGAACAGTAGGAGGATACCACTGATTGCCTTCAAAAATGTGTATCTAGGCTCTGGTACCATACAATGAGGGCAGGATAATAACTCAGCCTCCCTGGGTGGAGACATCCAGTCTACACTCCAAGAGGGCGGCACCCTACATTGGAGCATGGAGGAAAATGGGTATCCTCATTCAACTATATAACTATATAACCCAGGAATGAATCAAGCCGCTACAAAAAAACGTAGCACAGATCTTGCTCCTCACTGTGAAGATCCAAGGGAAGTTCACTGAAGTCAACACAAATTCTCAAAAAGGTCATGCTCCAGCAAACAGAGCAACGAAGGGCAGACTTCAGTAGGCCTGACAGATATACTCAAGGCCTGAGTCGCACAGGGCTACATATAGATGAAATATGGATCATTGATCCACTTTCAATAAGCAGTACAAAAACAGTTTAAAAATGTTTAGTGTCAGCAGTACATTTATTCTGTGGTTCTTAAGATGAATCCACGTTGAGAACCATCGCCTTAAATGTCAGTTGGTTTTAGGGAACAAACATGCTATGAAAGAGTACAGAGAAAGGAAGCCTCTGCGCCCAAGATTAAGTAAACTGCATGGCTATCATCTCGCAGGTAAAAACCCAGTAGCCATCATCAGAATCCCAATCAGTGATATTGCCCACAGCCACCTGCAGACGGCAATCTCGGGAGTAAATGCTGATCAGTATATTGCAAGGTCATCCACATATGAGGGAACTTTGAAGCTACTGGGGACAACGCCGACCACAGCATCTATTGTAGAATCCACCCCCTTGAAAGGAAACTATGTACCGAGAGGAGCAAGACAAACTCCTGTCTCACTAAAAATGCTGTAAAGAATGGAACAGTCGACCCTGCAGTCATAAGTGATGAGGACAGACAAAAGCACCATACTGCCATGTAGTCATTAACAAACTAAGGGAAAAAAAACACCAAGATATAAAGGAAGCTGGTGAAAGCCACCTGGGTGTCGCCAGCCAACCTGTCCAAAGAATCTATAGTCAACTATAACTTAATACAGCAGCACTGCTAAAAAAAAAAAGAGTTTGATTCCAGGTACCAAACCAGGTGAACACCTCAAATACTCTCCAGGAGCTGCATTACTGCACCTTAGTCATGAGATCAACCAACAATCTGCAGTACTCAGAAGTTCTGTTCCAGCACGAGTACGACGTGGAGCACAAGTACTGCTACCTGCAGAGTTCACAATTCTACTACGAAAATACACAAGGCTTGTAAAACTTCAGTGAGGCAGGTAAGAGGCAATGTAAAAATACAGAATGAACCACCAGATGTAGTATACACAAACTTTGCGAAAGCCTTCGACAAGTGTGACCATGGTGTAAGAGCACACAATATACATGATAAAGGAATAACAGGAAAAGTTGGTAGATGGATCTATAACTTCTTAACAAACAGAACACAAAGGGTAAGAGTAAACAGAGTAAAGTCTGAGACAGTCACAGCAAAAATTTCTGTTCACTGCAAGGCAAAGTACTCGGCTCCATCCTGTTCGTTATCCTCATATTTGACATAGACAGAGATGTAAGCCACGGCACCATGTCTTCATTTGTGGATGACACCCGAATTTCCATGAGAAATGTCATCCATCAATGACACTGAAAGACTCCCAGCGGACACCAACCAAATCTTTGAATGGGCTGCAGAAAACAATATGAAGTTCAATGAAGAGAAATTTCAATTATTCCGATATGGAAAACTTGAGGAAATTAAAAGTATATCGAAGTATAAAACAAATTCCAATCACACAATAGAGTGTAAAACTAATGTGAAAGACATAAGAGTGATAATGTCAGAGGATCTCACTTTCAAAGATCACAATAATGTGTTCACCACATCTTCTAGGAAAATCATAGGGATGCCAAGCCCATGATTCTCTTCAGATCGCTTGTTCTCTATAAGCTGGAACATTGCTGCACACTAATGGTCCCTTTCAAAGCAGGTGAAATTGCAGACCTGGAGAATGTACAGAGAACTTTCATGGCACATACAAGTATGATAAAGCACCTAAACTTCAGGTAAATGGATGAAGTCCCTTGATCTGTACTCCTTGGAATGCAGGCAAGAGAGGTACATGATAATGTACACTTGGAAAATCCTAGAGGGACTAGTCCCAAATTTGCACATGAAAAATCACTCCTTATGAAAGCAAAAGACTTGGCAGGAGATGCAACATCCTCCAAATGAAAAGCAGGGGAAACACGAGCGCACTAAGAGACACCACAATAAATGTCAGGGGCCCAAGACTGTTAAACTGCCTCCTGGCATACATAAGGGGGATTATAAATAGACCCCCGCATGTCTTCATGAAGGCACTGGACAGGCACCTAAAGTCAGTACCTGACCAGCCAGGCTGTGGTTCGTACGTCAGTTTGCATATGGCCAACAGTAACAGCCTGGTTGATCAGGCTCTGATCCACCGCGGGGCTTGGTCACAGACCAGGCCGCAGGGGCACTGATCCCCAAAACCCTCTCCAGGTATACCCTTCTCACAAAATGTTGAGGGAGACCCCTAGAGGATGTACATGTAGAAGTCCACTCGGGGATAACACAATTTCCCCGAGAGTTTACAGATGTTATTATACACGTTGCCTGAAGATGACGATGAATTCTCCCCCGCATATACAGAACCCAGTGCTAGATCACATTTAGCACAAGTAAATCTTTTCTGGGATTATATATATATATATATATATATATATATATATATATATATATATATATATATATATATATTATATATATTATATATATATATATATATATATATATATATATATATATATATATATATATATATATATATATAATATATATATATATATATATATATATATATATATATATATATATATATATATATATATATATATATATATATATATATATATATATATATGCAATAAGATCAAAGTAAACAGGTGATATCAGAATATGCAAAACAACCACTGTGAAAGAATAGTGAAATTCCAAGCACTTTCGTGACTTCTCACATTATCAAGGAACCATAAAAACAATACATCAAAGGAAGGCATATAAAGGGTCAAGACTACACCTCAAAGTGGTAAAAGTCTCGAACTAAGACTAAAACAAAGTAAATATAGCATTAGAAATGGGTAAGATTCTAATGCTCTGTTTATTCATGTGAGAAAATTTAACCGTCCAATTGATTTTCAAAAGGTTGAGAGAAAGTCGTATCAAGCAAGTCAATGGTCGACAGGAATATGTTTGAAACATTTTTCACAAAAAAGCAGTTTTGAAAATAATATGAATCGCCACCCATCTAGATACCCATCAATTACACAACCCAGGGCAACATGAGTTGAGAGCAGGTCGCTCCTGTCTGTCCCAACTATTGGATCACTACGACAAGGTCTTAGATGCACTAGAAGACAAAAAGAATGCTGATGTAATATATACAGACTTTGCAAAAAGCCTTCGACAAGTGTGACCATGGCGTAATAGCGCACAAAATGCGTGCTAAAGGAATAACAGGAAAAGTTGGTCGATGGATCTATAATTTCCTCACAAACAGAACACAAAGAGTAGTAGTCAACAGAGTAAAGTCTGAGGCAGCTACGGTGAAAAGCTCTGTTCCACAAGGCACAGTACTCGCTCCCATCTTGTTTCTCATCCTCATATCTGACATAGACAAGGATGTCAGCCACAGCACCGTGTCTTCCTTTGCAGATGACACCCGAATCTGCATGACAGTGTCTTCCATTGCAGACACTGCAACTCCAGGCGGACATCAACCAAATCTTTCAGTGGGCTGCAGAAAACAATATGAAGTTCAACGATGAGAAATTTCAATTACTCAGTTATGGTAAACATGAGGAAATTAAAACTTTATCAGAGTATAAAACAAATTCCAGCCACAAAATAGAGCGAAAAAAACGTCAAAGACCTGGGAGTGATCATGTCGGAGGATCTCACCTTCATGGACCATAACATTGTAT